TGTATAATGTTTGCTTGTGAGCCTTCAAATGCCCTAAGTAGTAGCTGACCTTCCCTGCAATCCCTCCCTTAATTCTCTCTTGTCTCATCCTCCATATTTGCTCCTCCCACCCCATTAATCCATATTTATGTATTCTGTTTCCCCTTCTCCCAGTCCCTGACTCTCTGGCTAACCTCTATGAGTCTACAGACTGTAACTTGCTTGCCATTGCATTAATTTCTATGATTTATTTTATCACTGAGTAATATTTCATTGTGTCAATGTATGATTCATCTGTTGATAGACATCTAAGCTGTTTTTTAATCAGCAGTGGATATGTTTGAGCAAGTGTCTTTGTAGTAGGATGTAGACATATTTGGGTATATGCTCGAGTGGTATATCTGGATCTTGTGGTAGATGTATATTGAGCTTCAGGAGGATCTGCCACAGTGGCTGTGCAAGGTGCTACTCCTATGTGTTTATATATTTTAAATGGCACACACTGTTACTATTACTTCCTGTCAAGATTTGTTCATTTTCTTATATTTTATGATCTATTGTGTTATTATTTCTTTCTGCCTGAAACTTTTCATTGGGCAGGGGATGTTATCTGGGAGATAAGTTTCATCCAAACACTGAAAGGACACTGAAGGAAGATGTTCTTCTGTATATACGTTTCTCTTATTGGTTGATGAATAAAACGCTGTTTGGCCTATAGCCAGGAAGGAAAAATAGGTGGGGCAAGGAGATGAGATGAATGCTGGGGACAGAGGCAGAGAGGCCAGGGAAAGGGATGCCACGCAGCCGCCAAAGGAATAACAGGTGCAGGCATTCTCCGGTAAGACAAGACCACATGAAAATACATAGATTTATAGGAATGGATCAACAATTAAGACAGAGAGAACCAATAAGAAATCCTAGCCATAGGCCAACAGATTAGTGATTAATATATGTCTCTGTGTGCTCATTTGGGGCTCATGGGACTTCAATAGCAGGCTGGAAAGAAACATCCAGTTACAGGACACAATTTGGGATTTTCTGTACTGTGACAAATACCAGGGACAAACAATTGGAAGGAAGATTTAATTTTGCTCTTGCTTTCAAAGTCTTCATCCATTGTGGCATGCTGCATTAATTTTCAATCATTGCAAAATCATTAATATGGAGCATTCTTCTTATTGCATTCCCGAAGGAGAGAGGAATAAGTGAGTTTGTCAGCCTGGCCCTGTTTCCCCCCACTGCTTGGAGACTTTTAATGACTTCTTCTATTTCACTAGAGGTTAAAGATAAATTTAAATGTTTTATTTGACCTTGATTTAACTTTTGCAAATGGCACCTATCATGAAAATCATCCATTTCTTTTTGGTTTTTCTAGTTTGGTAGAGTACACATTTTTAAATTATGTCTTTATGATTCTTGGAGTTTCATTGCTATCTGTTGAGTACATCCCCCTTTCAAATCTGATTTTACTAATTTGGAAATTCTCTCTTCTTTTTTAGTTAGTTTGGATAAGGGTTTTTCTATCTTGTTGATTTTCTCAAAGAATCAACTATTTGTTTTACTGATACTTTTTATTGTTCTCTTTGTTGTTTCTATTTCATTAATTTCAACCCCCAGTCTGACAATTTCTTGCCACCTACTCCACTTGGGTGTATTTACTGCTCTTTGTTCTAGAACTCTCTGGTGTGCTGTTGTTAGTATAAAATCTTTATGTAGGCACTTAATGGTATGAACTTTCCTCTTAACCACCACCTTCATTGTGTCCTATAAGTTTGGATATGTTTTGTAGTCATTTTCATTGATTCCTAGGGAGTCTTCAGTTTCTGTATTTCTACTTTGACCCATGCTTCATTTTAGCTGAGAGTTGTGAAATGTCAGTGGGTTTGTAAGCTTTTTGTTCTTTCTGTTTTTGATACCCAGCTTTATTTCATGGTGGTCTGATACGATACGATTCTTGTATCTTCTGAGGCTTTATTTTTGTCCCAGTAAGTGGTCAGTTTTGGAGTAAGTTCTATGAGGTGTCGAGGAGGTACATTCTTTTTTATTTGAGTGTTAATATTTGTTAGGTTCGTTTGGCTTATAAGGTATGTAGCTCCAGTATTTCTCTTTTTAGCTTCTGTGTGGATGACCTGTCTTTGGTGACAGTGGAGTATTAAAATGTATGAGGGTCAGTATATGTTTTAAGCTACAGTAGTATTTCTTTTACCACAGTGGGATCCCGTCTCTGGGAAAAGGAATAGATATATAGAATTAAAATGCCATTCATTGTTGTTTTCCCCCCCTTGATGATTATGTAGTGTCCTTTACCATTGCTTTTGATTAATTTTGGTTTGATGTCCATTTTGTTAAAAATTAAAGTGGCTATATCAACTTGATTCTTTTGTTCATTTTTTTTTCCAACTCCTTCCCTTTAGATAATAGCTATTCTTGATGTTGAGGTGTGCTTTTTGGTTTAAACAGAAGGCTGGATTCATCCTGGGTTTTATTGTTGTTTTTGATTTTTCAAGACAGGGTTTCTCTGTGTAGCCCTGGATCTCCTGAAACTCACTCTGTAGACCAGGGTGGTACTAAAATCACAAAGAGACAGCTGCCTTTGCCTTCTGAGTACTGGAACCACCTGACTACACCCTGTCTTCTGTTTTCTGATTCTTGCATGTCCTTTCTGTCCTAGCCTTCCCTATGATTTGCCACTGAAAATCTTAATCATATTCTGTATCACTGCTTTATGATTGGCTGCTGTTCTCTCATCTGTAACGTCTGTCTAGGTTGCAATGTAACTCTCTTCCATACCTTCTTTACATTTCTTCTCACATAGCTCTCCACCATTTCTGCAGTTTCCGATTCTGCTAAGTACAAGGGTGTTTCCACAAATACAACCTACAATTTTGCCTAGCATTTTTCTTTCCTTCATAGTAACTACACATGCATTATATAAACATTTTTCTTTTCTGTTGTGTAATTGCTTGCATTCCTAAGTAGAATATTCTGTAACTAACAAACTGATTTCTGTTACATTGTTTACAATAAATTCCCTCAAATTAAACTGTTGTTTGACACACAGACATTTAATAACTTTGGCAGAGTGAAAATTTTACCTTGGATATTTTTTTATGTTATTTAATGTGTCTACTAATTCATCAGCTAGGCTGATGTAACTTTATACTCTTATTTTCTTAACCATTCAGGCCCAGGTCATCTTTAAACTTATTCTCATTATATTTACTTTGTTGGTTTTTTTCTGTTACAATTATTGTTTTGTAACTCTGTGCATTTTAAGTGGCCTAATAAATTCCTATAGTATTTATTCATCTCTATGGTGGTAGGAATGTAGTTGGTCCCCATAGGTTCATAGGGAGTTACAATATTAATATGTATGGCCTTGTTGGAGTAGGCATGGCTTTGTTGGAGGAAGTGTACCACTACGGAGCAGCAGGCTTCGAGGTTTAATATACTCAAGCTTCCCCATGTAGTACTTAGTTTACTTCTCATTTCCTAAGGGTCAAGATATAGAACTCTTAGCTTTTCATCTAGCACCATGTTCTTTTGCATGGTGCCATGCCTCTTTGTGATGATAATGGACTAATGATCATCAGGTCTCTCCACAGTAATAAAACCCTAACTAAGACAATCTCCAAATACTGTGTAAGTATTTTTAGCATTAGTGTGTGTGTTTGTGTTTGTGTGTTTGTGTGTGTGTGTGTGTGTGTGCTTTTTTTCTCCACAGGGCTGGGATTACAATTGCTGTTCTGTGTGTTCTTGAGATATTTGATCTCAGAAACAATGTGTCTACTGTGCTTAATAAAACTCATGCCATGATTATACACAAAGCAAAGTAATAACATCGTTATATAATCTTTCATGGTTAGGATATTGTTCATATTTCAAATTGTGGATATAGTTGAATATTATTCATTGCATACCCTTTTTGCTCTTAATTTATAGCCCTATCCACTGATAAATCCATAAGATGAATTCTTAAATTTGTAGAACTCTTCCTCGTTTACAACAATTATATACCCACAAACACCTACACATTGTAGCAAGAATAATACAAAGCCAGTGACAGATATTGGGGGTTTAAGCTGAAGATCAGAGAAGTAGATCAGCCAGCCAGTAGCTTTTACCTCTTCCAAGGCTGAAATGGAGATCCTTTCTTCCCTGTGACTGGAAATTGAATCTTACATGAAACCCTTTGCTTCTTTCTTAAATACCTCTCTAGTGCTGGAATTAAAGGCATTAGCTCTATCACTCTTTTAGACTGATTCACTTGAATGTAGCCCAGGGTGGCCTTGGGCTCACAGAGATAGATTTGCTTCTGTCTCCTGAGTCCTGGTATTAAACTGTGTGCCACCACTGCCCAGCTTTTATAGCTCTGGCTAGCTTTGCCCTCTGATCCTTCACAAAAGCTTTATTCGATCATAAACAATGCACCACCTAGACTATATATCATCACTCCTATAAAGTAATTGATTTACATGTAGAATGTTTCTGATTTACAACTAGTATTTAATTTCTAACTAACATATGGCAGGTCTAACATGAGTACATTCATTAAAACTCAGCAGTCCTAACTGGACATGATTGCAATTAAAACACCTTTGGTCCCAGTAATCTGGAAGCTGAGGCAATCAGATCTTTGAATTCCAGGCCATCCTGGGTTACATAGTAAGGCCCTGTCTATGGACTGCTGAGAGCAGGGGAACATCTTCTCCTTGTCAAATACCAAATGGTCAGCCTCAAAACCATACACACAAATAATATGATACTGCCTGAGCAAATTGCATCAAGAAAAACAGGCTATGGATTTGAAAGGGAGACACACGGAAGGCTTTAGAGTGGGGCAGTGGGAGAGAAAAAAAATGACATGATTATATTTTAATATAACTAAATTAGAAATTATTAACATAAACAAAACACTGTGCAGTCTCCCTTTGGCTATTGATTTAACTTTTATTTTCATAATAGTAAAGCTATTGTCTCATGTTTCTGAAATACTGTTTTTTTATGTTCAATATTCACAGACATACTACAATTGTTCTTGCATTAAAGAAGGATTGACAACTGCAGATACTGAAGGTGATTTTGTTGATGCCGTTTCTGGAAAATGTAGTAACAAGTGTCACGCATTACCTTTGTTTTTTGCCTTTTTCTTTTCTTCAATAATTTTTTCTAATTTGCCTAGTATACCTGTCACCCTGACTATTCTCCAGTAAGTATGTAATTTTTGTAATTATTGTTTACTTAATACATAAGAAACATTTAGAAATAGTTCAGATTATTACAGCAAATGACTTCCTGTGTTTTATAGCTCTAAACATAAAGAGAAGGAATTTGTAACATTAAAATTCATACATAGTTATAATTCCTTTACTTTTATTTTTTCATTATTTGCAAAACATGTATCGATATTATATTTGTTCTCACATTAATTTAAAAACAAGTGTATACAATTTTATATTTCACATGTTACTTTCTAATTTTGTAGAAAATATAGGTATGTATCTATTCACCAGTAACAAACTGAAGTTTTCCATAAACAGGAAAATTTTAAATTTTAACAGAGAGATGAGTGTAAAGTTTATTCATTGGCATGGGTATTTATCTCTAGTTCTACATTAAAAACTCAGCTATGAGCAAACATTAGAGTCATCCATAAAACAATACAGCATTTTTACAATTTCAATTTATTATTCTAAATTGATCCAACAATTGTTACTTACCTGTTCGTACAAAATGTTTTAAGTTCACATAACATTTTTTTTATTCTAGGAACGGAATAAAAGGACATTACTTTAAATTTATTTTAACAAGTATATATGCATCCTAATTATCCTGTAAAATCTAACTAACAAAATGAAACAAACAAAAAACAAACAAACAAACAAACAAACAAAAAAAACCCTAACAGTACATTTCTGGAATCATCTCAATTATCTGTGGAGTAAAAGTAGAGACAGAAATGTGTAAACTATCCTGGCAAGTGCAGTGGGCTTGCTTTCCAGCAGTACCTAAACTAGGTGCATCGTTATTTGCCTTTAATCTCAGAATAGGGAAGGTAGATACAGGCAGATCAAGAGTTCAAGGTCAGCCTTAAAGGGAATTAGAAGACAGCCTAAAGCAACATCAAACAACAAAAAGAGAAAGAGCAAAGCAAAGAGGGAAGATAGAGGGAAAAAGAGAAATACAGAAAAGAAATAAAGACATGAGTTCTGAGCTGCAATTAATGAAAGAGAGACTAAAAGAATAATGCAAAGATCATAATACATTGTCTAAAGTGTCTAAAGATTTGATACAAGGAAATAGATAGCAAAGGTTCTTTACAAGGTACTGACTTATAGCTGAACATCATTTACGTTCTTCAACATTTTATCTAATCAGTGATAAATACACAGATCTTCTGGTTTATTATTCAACTCTCTCATACTAAAATATAATGCATTTTAGCTGTTTTTTACTATTTAATCTGCTCTTCTCTTCTTCCCAACAAGCCCCTTCTTCAGGGATCTCTTTTAGTGCGTGACTTGCTAGACTAATTAGAGTTGTTTGCGTTATTGTGGGTGAGCACCTCCTATTTAAAATGATGCCATTTAATAAAGTTTTGAGTAATGAATATACAGGTAACATAGGGAAGAGCAAACACTCAGAAATCAGCATTATTTCAGTGAAGCTGAATGAAGCTGTAACCAGATGTAGGTTGTATGTAAGGAATGCCATTGCAGGGTGTGGTGCCCAGCCACCTTGCACTCAAGGGAGTGAGGGTCGGATGGAAACACCTGTAAGGAAGGCACCTGTCTGTGGCACCCAGTCACCCCTAGTAACTATGAAGAAGAAGCCTTAAGACAAAGACTTGACTAGAACTTTCTTCTTCATTCAAGGTACCATTACTGACATAATGTGTGGAGTGCAGAATCCACAACAAACAAACTAGGAAAGTGTGGAGTAGACTTCACAAATGCGAAACAAATTCTAAACAATCCTGTGCCTGTCAGCCTGAGCAAAGTTAAATTGAGAGTAAAAGAGCTGAGCCATTTCAGGAAAGAGAGGCTCAGGTGGATCTGATGTATTGAGAATGAAGGAATGGGAAAGTGGAAAGATGTCTATAGGCTGAAGAATTGTAGAATAAATTATGTATAAAATATATGTATATATTAAAAACATAAACATAGCATGTCCCAACCATAAGTAATGCTGCTACTTTTGCTTTCAGAAGTGCACCTGCCCATTTAAATTCACTGAGCCTGGGTATAACCTACACAATTTGGAGATTTTGTGGTATGTATTTTCAATGTACCAAATTGTTTGTTTCTGACATATAAATTTACCTATATATGTATTTAAACCTAAAAGTAAACAGTAATGTCTAATTAATAATAGATTACTTTGAAAAATTTAGGATCCAGTCAAATACAGAGAGAAATTAAATGAAATAAAAGCCATCGTGTTAAACAAAACATGCATCAATTATATTGCATCAGCTAGAGCCATGCATTTGGACCTGAAATATCTTCATTATCTCGTATCAGTAACTCTGAAGATTGTACAAAACATCCTATGTAATTTCATACTCCTTTTTGCTGCAAACAAAATGAGTTCTTTAAAATATTTCTCCCCAGTTATGGTTTTTGACCAATTTGTAGCACTATTCATGAATTTCCTCATTCAAAGAGGACTCAGATTCTAATAAGAGAGTGATTGGTTGACCTTATAAAAAGTCATGCCACTTTGCACTGTAGGGACTACCAGACTGGTAAGTCGGTCCTGGAGCAGGATATGGTGCTAAGTAAGATCTGTTTTATTTTTTTTTCTCCTCCATCAAGCTGCATCGCACCTTATAACACTATGTAAGCTAGACAGCGTTATTTTCTGTGTCCCTGTGGTTTCTTCAGTAACAGGGTCTTATCATCACTATGATCACTGACAGCAGACTATATTGCTTCAGGTGCCTCTAAGCCCTCCCTGGCTAGTAACCAAAAGAGAGGAAAACTATACTTGGCACTGACATTTTCATTTAATAATACAAGTCTTGAACAATACTCTGTTCAAACTCTGAAGTAGATCTTACCACATGACCCCGATACACCGCTGCTAGGCATATAACCAAAGGAAATGATGTTATTACGAAGATACTTGCACACTCAATAATTTTATAACCATTTCAACCTGGAATGGAGTCAACTTAGATGGTCACCAGCTAATGAGTGCACAATGAATGTATAGATGTATATATGGATATACATACATCACAATACATGGATATTACTCATCTGAAAAGAAAAAGTGACGTTTAGAAACTTTCAGGCAAATGGATACAACTGAAGGAAATGTTACTGAGTGAGATCACCCAGGTCATAAGACACAGTTCTGAATGTTTCCTCTCGTGTATGGATCCTAGCTTCCCACAATTTGCATGTTAACCTAGCATACTTGTGGAAGCTAGAAATGTCCACCCGCTCAATGGGATGCATTTGGAAAGGAGAGATAGTAGAATGGAGGTGAGACAAAGTAGACAGTGTGAACACAAGCAATGCAAGTGTTCAGACAGGAAGTGCGTGATGGGGCAGCAGAGAGAGGAGCCAGGGAGGCTTCATGAAGAAATAAGAGGGAATTATAAAACTCATGGGATATGAAAGAATGAATTGAACTTTTAAAAAGATGGAAATGATATGGAAGATAGGAGAAACAGGGGATGGATCCAAAGCTAAGACTTATAGATTTATGAAATCTCACCAGTTTGTAAGATGAATAAAAATAGAAGACATAAACAGACAATGTGTTTTAATTTGACAGCATCACAGTGTGCCCAAAACTAATGTGTATGTGTGCATGCTTGTGTATGTGTGTGTATGGTTCTGAGCCATGATCAGTTTCACGCAGCCATTGGGGAATCTTGGAATATATTCCCCAGGAATAAGTGAAGAGAAACATATACATCAGAATGCAATCAGAGAACATCAAGTCATTTTCACTCATTAAAGATATCATAGCTGTTCATCTTAAAAGATCCTGGAAGTCACAAAGTCATGCAGTTTAATGTCTTTGTTCTAAACAAGTCCTCCAAATTATTCCATGCACATTCAACAACTGCTTTAAGATACCTTGTAAACAACAACAAAGACAAAATTATAAAATCACTTCAAACTACTGACATTTGTAAACATGCAGGGTTCGGGATATTGATTGACAGAGTTAATGATCCAATGTCTAAAACACTATTACAGAATTTTTAAAAATGTGTTTAGAGGATCCTGTGGGGCGTGTGCACGGTGTGCATATATGTTTGTGTATGTGTGTGTCTTAAGAAGAAGTTATTCTAACCTTGGTCAAAAGTGTTTTTATAAAGAACTTATAGTCACTGACTGTTTCATAGGATCCATCCCTGCACCACTGGTTTTTAACTTGTCAACATCTCAGGCTTGCATTTACTGGAACATTAATCAATGTGGAATCAAAGAACGTTGTTGGATCTACAATAAGGCAAAAATGGTCTACATAGTGATGGGACTATGTAAGTGATCCAAGTTGTGTAATCTAAATAAATAAAATGATTTTTAGAATTTGAAATTGTTTTTAACAAGGTAATAATTAACCATGAATAAATATTTTTTTTGCTAAGTGAGAGCTTATACAATTTTGTAGGGAATATTTATAAAGTAGTAGTATGTAATTTATCTTAACCCATGTAGTTTTGTGCAAAATGCACTGGAGTTCTGTGCTATTGTTTAAGAAATGGTAACTATTAGTATAATTTCAATTTGTTAACTAATTTTGGTTGCACATTTATCGATCCAAATTTATTTCCTTTATGAAATTTTCAGTTTTACAATATTGAATATTATGTATCTTAGAATAAAAATCATTATAGTTGTAAATAACATCATCAAATGTCTCTCTGAATATTAAACTTCATATTTTCTCTTCTTATGGTAATATTAGACATATGTTATTTTTCAGTTACTGAGAATCTCATGAAACTACTTAGTTTTTTCCAAATGTATTTCCACACGTCATTGCCTTGGCTACAGAGCTATTGTTTGTTGAAAAAACACAAAGCAGAGAGAGATGTTAGGGTGCAGTGTCCCTGCCTCATCCCCAGTGATACATTTCTTCCATTTAGGCTGGTCCATTCCCCAAAGAGCGCTAATAACCAGGAAGCAAGTGTTGAGATCCCTGAACCTATGGGAACTTTCTCATTCAAACTACTACATAAGCTCATGGCTACATCATAATGCACTTAGTTTACTTTTAAAAGTCTTCATACACTTCACCAGGCCCAACACTGTTTGGATGACCAAAGTCTCTTCGGAGATTCAAGGCATTCCCTTAATTGCAGTCCCACACAAAGTCAAAAAGCCAATGATATACTTGCAGTTTGTAACAACAGATTAATATACAGTACTATTTAGAAGTGTGGGTAATGGGGACATAGTGAGGAAATAACAGACCAAAGCAAGACTTGGGAGGGAAAATGTCAGTCTTAAAGCTCCATTGCAAGTGTCAAGGGTTTTAGATGGCTTTAACTCTCCGTCTTTGCTGATAGCAGTATGTGTTGTTCCATTTCATGTTTTCTGCTCACTCCAGTAGATATCTCACTGCTCCAGCATCTCCAAAATCTTGTAGTCTCCACTGACATCTAGGATTCACTTTCACAGCTTCATACAATTGCCTGCCACGGCTCCCCCGCTTCTCAGAGCCTTCCCTTGATGGAACTGCCCTGCCAACTGTTTGCTGGCCTCCCCTGCAGACTGAAACTGTCTTATTGGCCTCCAACCTAGCAGCACATTGCAGACTGGTCTCCATGGCTTTCCTCTGAGACTGATTTTGAAGCTGTCAGGATCCCAAAGCACTTGCATTTTGTTCCCCTGGACAACTAGGACCTCTTAGTAAGATCTGCTCCAACTTGGGCAGAGTTGTTTTGATTTTCATTTCCATGATAGCTAAGGATGTTGAGCACGTTCTTAAGTGTCTTTCAGCTTTTTTATTTCCACTATTAAGAATTCTTTCTTCAGTTCTGTACCCCATTTTTAAAAATAGGGTTGTTTGGTGTTTTTTTTTTTTTTTTTTTGACTAATTTCTTGAGTTCTTTGTATATTTTAGAGATCAACCCTCTGTCAGATGTAGGATTGGTGAAGATCTTTTCCCAGTCTGTGGGCTGCCTTTTGGTCCTGTCAACTGTGTCCTTTGCCTTACAGAAGCTTCTCAGTGTGAGGAGGTCCCAGACCTATATAGCAAGAACTTTGTGTGTTTAAAGAAAGAAATTTAAGAATATGCCAGAAAATGGAAAGATTTCCCATGCTCTTAGATAGGTAGGATAATATAGTAAAAATGGCAATCTACAGATTCAATGCAATCCCCATTAAAATCCTAGCACAATTCTTCACTGACCTTGAAAGGATAATGCTTTATATGGAAAAACAAAAGACTCAGGATAGCCAAAACAACCCTGTACAATAAAGGAACTTCAGGAGGTATCACCTTTCCTAAGTGTAAGCTCTACTACAGAGCTATAGTCCTGAAAACAGCCTGCTATTGGCACAAAAAAGACAGGTAGACCAATGGAATTGAATCGAAAATCCTGCCATTAACCCACACACCTATGCACACCTGATTTTTGACAAAACAGCTAAAAGTATACAATGGGAAGAGGAAAGTATCTTCAACAAATGATGCTGGCACAACTGGATGATTGTGTGTAGAAGACTGCAGATAGACCCATGTCTATCACCATGCACAAAACTCAAGTCCAAATGGATCAAAGACCTCAACATAAATCCAGCCACACTGGCCCTCCTTGATAAGAAAGTGGGAGGTACCCTTGAAGAAATTGATACAGGAGACCGCTTCCTGAACATAACTCCAGTACCACAGACACTGAGATCGACAATTAATAAATGGGACCTCCTCAAACTGAAAAATTGTAAACATTTTAACTATTTAATTTGAAATAAGTTTGTAATATTAATTATATTTGTAATTTGGAAGTTAATACTTTTAGAAGTAAACTATATATCTTTTCTTGAGGTAAATAGAATTTTTTTTAAAAAAAACTTTTGTTAAAGATACAGTTGCACTCTATTTTTTTTTTTATTCAGGTATTTTGTTACAATCAGCCACATCCTTTCTTGGTGTTCATGCCCTTTACAAATTTGATGATGTGGTTAAGCCAAGCAATGAGAACCTGGTCAATCCTGTAATGAAAGAAAAAGAAAGTACAAAAGAAAAACCAGTAATTTCTAACTGATTTCTTCATTGGGTAAGAACTGAATGTTTTCTCTTTGTCAATGGAATATCATATTGATAACTTTGAAAACATTAATAGTGAATAGTTACATTGAAAAATGGGCCACATGTAATCCTATAAGTTTTATTATGAGCATTATAACATAGTCTGTGTTAAAATTATTGAAGCTATTATGAAACATATACTTTTTAACTCTTAAAAGATATTGTAGGTCTTTTTTTGCCTTTTCTTGGAAATAGATTCTTTTCTCTATAATCTATCCTGAACTACATTTCCCCCTCCCTCCACCCCTTCCAGCTCCTCCCAACTCCTCTCCCCTCCAGATGCATCTGTGTCTGTTTCTGGTTAGAAAATAAGCAGTCTTCTGTGAGATAACAACCAAACATGAAAAATAGAATAAGATGAAAAACCATCATATCAGTGATGGACAAGACAAACCAACAGAAGGAAAAGAGCCCCCCAAATCAGGCACAGGAATCAGAGAGACATTCCTTCATATACTCAGATGTCCTGCAAAAATGTTAAGCTGAAAATATAGATTGAGGACCTGGTGTTGACATGTGTAGGACCTGGGCTTCCTGCTGTAGCCTCTGAGTTCATATAAATTTTTCACTTGATGCAGAGGACACTTTTCCTAGTTTCCTCTATCGCTTCTGGCTCTTACACTCTTTCTCTGGGTTCTGGGGCCTCAGAAGGGAGGGATTTGATGGTGACACCTATTTAGAGCTGTCCGTTTTCACGGACTCTCTCTGTCTTTCTCTGTCTGTCTGTGTCTTTCTCTGTGTCTGGCTCTGTCTGTGTCTATCTTGCTCTCTCTGAGTAAAGTCTTGTTGTGGGTCTCTGCATCTGTTCCCTTTTGCTGCAGGAGGAAGTTTCTCTGATGACGATTGAATAAGGCACAGATATCTGAGTGTAGCAGAATATAAATAGGAGTCCTTTTATTTATACTTTCTTAAAGTTCAGTGTAGTTTGCTTTACCTTTGGTCTCTTGGCTATTTAGTCTCTGTTTCTTTTTACCCAAGAAGTGTCAAGCATGAATTCTGTCTCATGGTGTGGGCCTTAAGTCAAATCAGACATTGGTTGGCTATTTTAATATTTCCATGACATCATTGCCTTACCATATCTTGCAGACAGGACTGATTGTAGGCCAAAGTGTCTGTGGCTGGTTTAGTGTTTACAATTCTCTTTTGGTAGCCTACAATGTACCTTCTCAGACCAAAGACCCCAGAACATAGGAATAAAGGCTCCATGTAGGCACTAGTTGAACTTCTCTGTGTTCAGTGAGTTGTATGTAGTTGTCCTTGGAAATGGGCCCCTCTGCCAGTGTGTGGATAGAAAAATCATAGACCCCCTTGAGACAAGAATGGCAAATTATGATTTCCCTATGATTAGGAAACGTGTTTTGATTTGCTTTCCTATATTTAAGGGAGTTTCTACTGCCCTATGGACTTTCAATACTGTCCCCCAAGTGCCCACAAATCCGGCCATCTCTTCCTACATTCCCTCACTAAACAGTCTCCTCCCTTCCCCACCTGATCCTCACTTTCACATCCCCATAAGTTCCCTGCTCACTGCACAAAATCTGTTCACAGCAACACCTTCTTCTGTATATAACCTCTGTGAGGGTTTGAGTGAAAATGGCCCTATAGGCTCATAGGGAGTGTCACTACCAATTGTGGCTTGTTGGAGGCAGTGTGGCATTGGTAGAGAAAGTGTGTCACTGGGGGTAGGCTTCTAGGTTTCAGATGCTCAAGTCAGGCCTCTTATCACTCTACCCTTTCCTGCTGCCTGCTGACTAGGATGTAGAACTGTCAGCTACCTCTCCAGTACCATGTATGCTTGCATGTCACCATGATTTCTGCCATGATGATAATGAGCTAAAGCTGTTAATTGTAAGCCATCCTCAGTTAAATGTTTTCCATGGTCATGGTATCTCTTCACAGCAATAAAAATTCTCTGACAACCTCTTTGTGTCTACAGATTGTAGTTGGTTAACATTTATCCTTATATATGTGCAAACATACCATATTTATCTTTCTAGGTCTGAGTTATTTATCTCAGGTTGATTTCTCCAAGTTCCAACCATTTCTTTGCAAATTTCATGTTGTCATATTTTTCAACATCTGAGTTATACTCCATTGTGTAAGTGTACCACATTTTCTTTATCCATTCTTCAGTTGAGGGGCATCTGGGTAGTTTCTAGTGTTTGGCTATTATGAATAAAGCCACAATGAACATAATTGAATAAGTGTCCTTGTGGGAGGATGAAGCGTCC